CATTGGTGCTCATTTTGACATAATCATCCATGAATGAAATGTGATTTTTCTCCACCTCAGTTCCCAGAATTTCCTCTAGTTATGTATTCTTGAACAAGTCATCACCACCCTACTTTCATCCCCAGGTTTCAGTTTTTTCACATGTAAAAATTCACTGGAACAGGATCTCAAAGAATACATTCTACTGACATGAGCCAATAATATAATTTTCTTTTTAAAAAATGAAGTAGAATCTCACCAGCCATACATTGTATTCCTGCTGTATATGCAAAGTACTTTGCTAACCACTCTAGAGGGAAAATGGGGAAGTAAAATAGTTGAAGGAGAACATGTGAAGATATAATCCTGCTTTCAAGGAACTTGCAATCTAGTTGAACCTACTGATCTCACTTTAAAATGAGCCACAGTAAATTCTATTTCATCTGTAGCTCTCATGTAAAATGTTTGTTGGATTAGGAACAAACAGCTTAAATTTAGCACTCCTACAAAGTTGTGTTTATTAATTTTTTGCTTTGGTAGAATGTTCTGGTTAAAAAATCCTTGTTACTTTTTCAAGAGTTACACTAAAGAAAAATAATAAAGTAACATAACTAATGAATTTTAAACCTAATGTACCTCAATAAAGCAAACTTTAAATGAGTTAGTCTGATTCAACACATTTTTTGGGCACCAATGTAATAATCCTTGCTAGGTTATGCAGAAACTATACATATTGTTAGATCTGCATCTATAATTTAGTAGTAAAGGTTAGGCAGATATACAAATTACTAGAAGAAAAAAGTAAAAAGAAGAAAAAAGAGACAAAAGTAAGTAGAAACAGAAAGCTGAAATCTGTGACTGAACCATGCAACCTTTCTGAGCAACCATTCTCGAAGGTCTGAACATCCCCCAAATAGCATTTTTCCTCTTTCCTATCTGTTCCTTCCACATTTGATCTTTCTACCAAATCTGTCCTCATTATGCCCTCTGGAATTCCTTGTCCATTTTAAATAAGTTCTCCAAATCCTAAAACACCACAAAGAATTGTCCCACTACTCCTTGCCTTAAGTAAAACTTGATCCTTGCCATTAAAAATAAGTTGCTCATTTTTCTACCCCCACTCCATGTACTATGAAAGCAAGAGAGTGTATTTGCTATCTCCTGACACCCTTGTGCCACATCTAAACCAGGACTCATCTACCATAATGCTAAAAGCTATTCATCTGTCACCCTCTAATCATCCTTACTGATGTCATTGTCTGTTGATCTCCCAGTTATCTTATTTTCCTAATTTACTGAATGTTTTAGAATTTGACTCTTTCAGTCCTCCTTTCACAACAGACAACATTGTCTCCTACTTCATCAAGAAAATTGTTTCTCAGGAATGGACAATCTCTATTTTGGGAGCTGCAGTTCTTTTTTTCCTTGTGTCTGTATTCTTTTCTCACTCTGCATCCTCCAGGAATTCCCCACTCCCTAACAGATGAACTCAGATTCTTTTTATTTTTTTTTTATTTATGTGGTACTAGAGATTGAACCTAGATGCACTTTACCAATGAGCCACATCACTAGCTCTTTCTAGTCTTTATTGTGAGTCAAGGCCTTGCCAAGTTTCTAGGCTAGCCTTGAATGTGCAATACTCCTACCTTAGACTGCTCAGGACTTGGGGTTATAGGTATGCACCACATGTTCAGCATAAATTCAAAATCTTTAGAATGGCATGTAACACCTTTAATGACCTAGTTTCTGCATTTCTTCCCAACCTAATTTGTCACTTTAAACCTCATAATTCAATCACACACACACACACACACACACACACACACATGCATACAACCTTCATCTTACATTTCACCCATATTAAATTATTAGATGCTCCCTAAATATGCCAGGCTATTTCACACCTTCACAACTTGCACATTCTATTTTCTCCCCCACCCCCAGCCCCACTAGAATGCTCCTCTACAGTCAGGTGCAGTAATGCTTGCCTGTAATCCCAGAGACTTGGGAGGCAGATGCAGGAGAATCACAAGTTCAAAGCCAGCCTCAGCAACTTAGCAAGGCCCTAAGCAACTTTGGGAGACCCTGTCTCAAAATTAGAAATAAAAAGCCTGGAGATGTGGCTCAGTGGTTTAGCATTCCTGGGTTCAATACTCAGTACCAAAAAGAAAAAAGAATATTCCAAATGAACATAAAGCCTTAATTTAGATTTTCATTGTTTTAGAATAATTACTGCCTTAATGTTCAAACATCTATTTAAGTTGTGATGATAAAGGATAAATGTACATTTGTTTATGCCTTTTTTGTAAATACAGATGCCGTGATCTATGGCTTCTGTTTGTAACAATGTTTGTTAATATAGCCAATAGAGTTATTTACAAAAAGTGGAGCATGTAATTGTTCTTCATATACAAGAACTGCTCCCTCTTAGTTACCTGGATTGTCCTAAGATCATTTGTAAAAATTGAAATTTGGTATTAAAAAGAAACTAGAATTCTCCAGAAAAAAATAAAGAATGTTCCTATCCATCTGCCCTCTCCTATCCTTTATGAAGCTTTTTATAACATCCATAAACTATTTACTATTTCTATTCTCTGTGTCTTTATGTACTTATAGCACAGCTGCTATAATGATACAGTGCATTAATTTGTTAACATAACTGTGTCTCCCTCTAGTATAATGTAAACACTTTAAGGGTAGGGCCTGTGACTTATTTTCCAAATGTCTAACACAAAACTGGCACATATTGAGTGGCTAATAACAATCCTTTTAATACAATTATTATATTACAGTAACTAAAAGAACAGGAACCTTTTTATGGAGGAGATGAGGTAAGAGATTGTCTGAAAGATGATTAGAATTACATCTGATTGTGATGAGGAAAGAGGGTATTTCACAGTTGGCAATATGACCTGAGCAAAGGAAAAAAAAAAAACAAATGAGAAACAGAGCTGGTCATAAGGTCATATTTATGTAATGGACACATAGTAAACAACAGGAAAGTGACTCTATATAGTTAGAATGGAATATTAGTATAGTCTTGAGTAGCTCTTTGAGTTTAATCAATTGGTCACTGGAGACTTTTGAGAGGAAAGTGATATGAATTGAATTGCATTTTAAGAAGAATAATTCAGTATAAGTCATAAGGACAGAAAAAAAACTGAAAAGAAAGTTGCAATTTCTAATATACTATAAACAGTATTTCCATATTATAACAAAAAAAGAGAAGAAAAATGGATCAATCCTTGGTGTGCAGTCTTCTGCACAACTGCTCAACCACCACAATTTGCACCAGTGTATGAATTTGTGTTATGTGTCAGTGTTTCATGAAATGCTTTATGGAATCTGAAACCTAACTGACCATGTGGTATAGTGAAAATAGCACTGGACTGAGTCAGGCATCCAGGATCTGTCACTAATTTGGTGTGTTACTTTCAGCAATCATTTTATCCTTCTGGGTCATGAAGGGAGTAAGGTTGGATTAGATGTTCTCTAAATACTCTTCCAGCTCAAATATTGTTTAAAAAATTAAGTTGTCCAATTCCAAACACTGATTATTATAGCCATTACTGGTAACATCTTCTTACTAAGTAACTCTGTTTAAGAATTATTTTCAGTATCCTAACACCTCCTTCCTTTCATTAACTTGTGCACAGTGATTTGGTTGAACTTACAGTTGCGTGGGAACATAGCTTTCATCCCTTTTCATATGACTCACTCTGTAATCATGCTGGATCTGAAATCCTCATGAAATTCTGAACACCAGACACTGATACTTTATTCTTTGTCCTGCTATTTCTTGTTCTAAATAGGAGTGTCCAGGTAGCACTGGTATAATTTTTCTACCAGAATACACCTTAGGGAAGCAAATTTGATATTATGCTAATAGATTCAAAGCAACAAGAAGGGTCATGAGAAATAATTCAGAAAAGTCTAATGGGATGAGATTTATACCTTTTTATGTAGGGAGCCAGAAGCTTCTAAGAAGGGATAAAGCATGATCTATATGGTGTTAATCATGACTACCTCTCTGTTCCTGACTCATGAATAAGTTGAAGCTTGCTTTTCAAACTTACACCCATTATTCATATTCATTCTCCCTCTCTCCTCTGTCTGTCTCTCTCTCTCACCTTGCAACAAAACATCACATTTCTTGACTGGTATTTAACAAACTATATAAATAACTTGGTGTTCACGTTAGTTACATTCCCTATTTCATTTAATTCTTAAAAGATATTCAGAATTCTAACCCCCACCCATTAGTTGGTAACATCCATATAATTTTCTATCTCTGGATTTTCTCAAGTATATTAATAACACAGTGGTAGGACAAGTCCAACCCTGTGACAATGTCACTGCCAGACAAACATGAATCAGGTGTCATCCTCAAGCATGAGTCCTGTCACTAATTCAATGCCAGTTAGAAATACCTATTGAGGGCTTACCATGTCCCAAGCCCTGACTTAAGCTTGCTGACAACATGAGGATGGATGAGTCATGCTCTCTGTCCTAAATAGCTTCAGTTAAGAAGAGCTAAGCCAAATAAATAAATAGACATAACAGAAACTTAGGAAACATTTTTTTTAATTAATGCATGTAATACTAGGCAAACAGTAATAAATATGTAATACTAGGCAAACAGTAATAAATTGTATAGTTATAATATATTTTCCTATTTTGTTACAAAGGATAGAATTTAAAGGCTTAAATCAACCTGATGATCTCTTCTCTTTAGAAATTCAGTTTAATTTCTTCTTATTACTTCTTAGTATTTAATATGAACTGATTTTTCAACTATTTTTATAAATATTCTTCTAGACATAAAGTTAAATTTAGAGGCTCAGTTTAGCTGAATTAATTAAACTAATTATTTGAGGGTATTTTAGATAAGGCCCAACAGATATTTACTTTTATTCTGTTTATGATTTGACCACAAACCTTTAATCATGTAATCAAAATCATTCAATTCAATCCAATTTAATTTAATTCACAACTTTTCATGTGCCATTTACTTTACATAGTCAAATCTTCTTCCAATTCAATCTATTCACTGAGAACAGATACCGGGCTGCCTATACCTGAGAGGAATGTATCTGCATTACTGTTTTCTACAGTATTAAAGGAAATAAGGTACAGTTTTCTCCTTCATATTCAAGGGTACTCAATATGGAGCAAATGGATGATATTCTGTTTACCCCTTGGGTCCTTCTTTAATGGCACCATGTACCATTCTTCAAGAGTTCCTTTCAACACTGCAAAAACTTGCCTGCATTCTCAGTTTCTTCGGTAATTTGGCCTGCTTCATTAACTTCATCTTATAGATGAGAAAACTGAGTATCAGACATGTTAAGTAACTTGCCTAAGGTCAACCACCTAAGTATAGATTCTACTATAACTCAAACTCAGACCCATCCTGGCTCAAAAGCTGTTTTGTTTTTGCCTTTATATCCATATTATCCTTGCCTCAGCAGAAAATTAAACTGAGTTTTTCTCCTTTCTTAAAGGAGAAGTAGTTTGTATAACTAAAATAAGAAGTCTTTGTTTACCAACCAGGGAACTTGTTATACATAAGAGATGGTATAGAATAAAGCTAAAAACCTATTTGCCCACTGACAGGTGAATGGATCAAGAAAAGGTGGTTTGTCCACAAAATGAAATATAATTCAGCCTTTAAAAAGAAGGAAATTCAAATTCTGACCAAATTATATTGTTAAATCGTGTGCATGTACATATATGTAATAGCAAATTCTATTGGTATGTAAAACTGTAATATACCTATAAAAATGTGGAGGAAAAAAAGGAAATTCTGTAAGGTGCAAAAACATGAATGAGTACTAAGGACATCATGCTAAGCAAAATAAGCTAGTCACAGAAAGACAAACAATGCATTATTCCATTTACATGAAGTATCTAAACTAGTCAAATTCATAAAATCAAAGAGTAGAATGTAGTTGCCAAATGCTGGGAGGGTGGGAAAGAAGAGCTATAAATCAACAGTCATAAAGTTTCAATTAAGCAAGATAAATAAATTCTAGGATTCACATTTAAGCAAGTAAATATTTATTTTGATGTTATTTATCTGATCTAAAAGACATTTTTGTTTTAAGTAATATATTGGAAGGTATTCAAATATGCCTGACAAGGCATAACAACCTAACTTGAAGATATATCACTAAAGACTCTCATCAGCAGAGACAGGGTTGTAGTTTGTTTCCTTTCAAGTATTTGAATTCTAAAATGATCTCAATAGATGATCTTAATTCTGGAGTTTGGTTCCCAGAAAACTGTGATAAATTTTCCAATAATACACAAGAGGAACAGCTGTCTTAAACTAAATTTGGGTACTTTAATATTACCAGTTTCAAGGTGTAAAACAAATTTCAAATCTTTTTTACTTGTGTTAAAAAAGGACTAGTTTGTCTAGGTTATTCAGGGTCCAAAAACAAAAACTGTCCATGTTAAGGATAAGATATATTTTCTCAGAAATCAAGTCCTGTTAGAAACCCTGAAGAATAGATTTGGGGCATTTTTGTGAAAACCTGAATGAATAGATTATTAATCCTAGAATCCTGAAGCCATATGATCAGACAGGATGGGCACCTCATAGAAGAGATGATAAAAATGAACTGACAAAGATGGCTTCAGGATTTTCTATTTTAGAAAACCTGAAGTATGTGTTCCTACTGTCAGAACCAGAAATATAATTTGCAAAAGGGATAAGGCCAGGGAGAAGGACTTGTGAGCCCTGGCAGGTGGAGCAACTTTAAATCATAAAACTAGCACTTAGTTTACAAACCAATGGCAAATCTAGAACTATTGTCCTGCCTTTAGAGGGCCTGACCAAAATGGTGTCTTGAGGGGCTAGGACTGTAGCTCAGCGGTAGAGCGCTTGCCTAGCACGTGTGAGGCCCTGGGTTTGATCCTCAGCACTACATAAGAATAAAATGAAGATTAAAAAAAATGGTATCTTGAATATAGTTGATATAGTTAAAGAGGAATTGAGTCTTTCCCACAGATGTTTTTCTGAGAGAAACTCAGGGAACAACGAGCAGTCCTAAACAATCTTGTGTTCCTCTTTTTGAAGCTATAGAACACTTATCCTATTTCCCTCAAGAAAAATGAATACCTTAATCTTTATAGATTTGCAAGTGGTAAACTAAAATGGACACAACAGATCATATAATCTAACCCTATTGTATTACAGATAAGTGAAGAGATAACAGAGAGGAAATGATTTGCCCAAGATCACTTTATTAATCATCCACCAGAAACTAAGGCATGATTCATGTTTTCTGCCTATCAGTCTTACAAATTTTCCACCAATCCTATTGTCTTTATCCATGCAAGAATTCTCTTTAATTTTGATAAGACATCAAGGAAATGATACAGAAAGTAGATTAATTTGAATCAACCCAATATTTAAAGGCACTATACTATGTACAGCAGTAAACACAAAAGGGATAAGAACTGTTTATTGTCCTTTGTTCTAGTGAGACCAGGATGAGAATAATGCATAACCTCAACTGAATGACCACAGAGATGACTACAACAAAGCAAATAAATGAAAAGTATCAAGAAAGACACAAACAAGTCAGGCACAATGGCACATACCTGCAATCCCAGCAGCTCTGGAGGCTGAGGCAGGAGGATCATGAGTTCAAAGCCAGCCTCAGCAAAAGTGAGGCACTTAGCAACTCAATGAGACCCTGTCTATAAATAAAATACAAAAAAATAGGGCTGGGGATGTGGGTTAGTGGTTGAGTGCCCCTGAGTTCAATCCCTGGTACCCCCCCTCAAAAAAAAAATAAAGAAAGAAAGGCACAAACAAAATACTATAAGACTTCAAAGGAAAGAAACATAAAATTGGATTGAGAAGATCAAGAATGGCTTTTTGTTTGACTACAAACAAAGAAGAGGCACTATTACCATTTCATTTAGTAGAAGATATCAACCTGAGGACTATTTGGGCACACTTGTGAATCACCCCTTCTTTCTGAACCATATTTAGCACAGTAATTTGTAACAAATTCTTGTTCATATGTAATTCTGTTGCAGCAGCAAGAGTTATGATGGATATGATGAGATCGGACCTTATATCCTTATATCTCCAGCCTCTCTTATTTAAACAATGGTTTAGAAGGGCTGAGGGAGAGAGAGTATCCTCTTCTGTACAAAAATATGGATTCCATAAATATTTATTGACCTGAAATAAATTGGACTTAACATGAGTCAAATAAATGATTTTAGTAATTCCTGGATTAAACCATTGAAATCAAAACTATATATCCATACTTTTCCTTCATCACTTCCACCCACCCAACCACCCAGATATGAATGATAGTATCCAATAGTGGCAGTAGCTCCTGTCAGAAACAACAGTCCTCGGTAGGGGTGAAAGTATTGAGTACTTACTATGTACATAGCTAAAAATTCCTAAAGGAACCACAAAAGATCCCTCATAATCCCAAACTTGAAGAAACACTACACTGTTGCCCAGAAAATGTGGTATTTATTCATTTGTGCATATAGAGATTGGGCTAAACTATAATTACACAATTACAATGAAAAAGGATAGTTAGAGCATTTGGCTGGTAGTATAGTTCCCATAGAAATTCATAAACTTTCTTTCCTATTCTTGCATGGATAAAGACAATAGGATTGGTGGAAAATTTGTAGGAGAAGTACAAGCTTGTCTAAACAAACAAACCAACAAAAAACTACAACAGAGGTGAAGATAATATTCTTCACTGATTAGATGAGTGGAATCATATAATTTTACGATCAGAAAGGATTTTTATATATTCAATATTTGGTAAGTATATCTTCATTAATATATAGAGACTTGGAAAAACTAAATAAACTATAAAGTTCACTGCCTGATTAACCAAATATAAAAGCCAACTCTGAATAATTCTCCACCTGCAACCCACTCTTTCCCCAGACTATCATAGGTTGCCTATGTGAACTTCTTACCTAAAGAGCAGACAATTTGAAAAGGGAAAAGATATTGGAGAAGTTCTGAAAAAATGATTGAGTAGAAGGTGGATTCAAATGCAATACTGTAGCTGTGGATCCAGGTTTCTGTTTTTTAAAACTAGACTATGTTTTATTTATTTATTTATTTATTTATTTTATGTTTCTTTTTTTTTTTAATTTTTTATTGTTGGTTGTTCAAAACATTACAAATTTCTTGACATATCATATTCCTCACTTTGATTCAAGTGGGTTCATTTTTCCCCAGTTGACTTCCTTTGGAAAGTCCAAACCTGTTTCTACTTGCTAAAAATAAACTGGAGGAAGATGTTTATTTTGGTGGCATTGGGACCACACATAAAGGGAAAATGGCTAGCCTCTAAAGACCTTACAGGCAGGAATGAAAGTTTTCATAGAACAAAAAGAAAAATTTTTGAAAGAAAGCCGTTCAGGCTGCTTCATTTTCAATAAAACCATTCTCTGTTCATGACTTGGAAATCTGTTACACTTTGTTATATTGTCAGATAGAATTTAATTGAACAGATATATACTCATTAAAAATTGTGTATATGCCATATGTGGTGATCCATAACCGCAATCTCAGATTCTCAGGGGGATCACAAGTTTCAGGGCAGCCTCAGCAACTTAGTGAGATCCTGTATCAAAATAAAACAAAAAAAGGTTGTTGTGTAAGTCAGTGGTTGAGCACTTTCCTAGCAAGTACAAAGCACTGAGTTAAATTCCAAGTTCCAAAGGAAAAAAAAAAGAAGTTAACTATACATGGTTGCAAAACAGCTTATCTCTGAATGTATATATGCCAAATTATAGATAAAACAATAAATACTATCATGATATTATAGGGAGAAGAATCCAAGGACCTTTAAGCCATCCTTCCTTCAAAGCCGTCCCAGACAAACTTGATATTTCCAATTTTCTAATTTCTATGCCTAAAAAACTAGATCCTTTGAAAAGAATTTGCAAATCATTTCCCATTTGAACCTTATAATGAAATGTCTGTAAGAGAAAAATAAGGGAAACATCATGGTTTCATAGGAAAAAAATGGAATATTATCTAATACTGTGTTCAACTTTATGTAGAGAAGTCATATGCTCATGGCAGCAAACATCTGTGACCACAGACTGTATTCTAAGTTCCTCCACTGGGAGTGTAAAAATGAATGGAGGGAAAAGAAGGTCATGGAATCCAATGACAAGCCCTAAATCTGTCAGTAAAGCTTTGATGTTCCACCACACATTATGGATCTGTACTTAACGCTGCTAAGTTCCCATGACCTTCTAGACTACTTCTATGGTCATTAACTTTCTTTTCAATCTTATTATTTCAGCTTGGGCATACTTTGACATTCCAAAGAAGAACTGACCATCATAAGAAGGAATATTTGTGAAGACTACTGCAGTTCCAGAAAGAGGTATGGTTTCCATTTTCAAAACGAACCTTGCTTTTTAAACTTGCAATTATCTTATAAAATAACTTCCTTCATTATCTATACAATATATCAATTCCATTTATGTCTCTTGCTTGCCTTCATTTATCAACAAATGACTTATTTGCTTTGTGCTAAGATGACTCTTATTCTACCATAGGGTGACCTCTCTACACTTCTAAGCTATTACTCCTCCCTTTCCCAACTATGAAGTGTTTTAAGGCAAGGATGGATTCTTACACATTTTAGATTTCCAAATGAATTCACTGTATCCATCTAGTAGGGTCAAATCATTGGGAGATCATATAAATTTTATAAAAGTTGATTAAATGCTACTTTGGAGAAGCAAAGCCATCATCTGTGAAACGATTGACTTAGACTACATGATGTCAACTCCTCCAGAATTCACCACTTGTTTGAAAGTTTTATCATCTTTTTATGGCTTAATATAAATTATTGAGTTGATATGTTTATAAATTAACAATTGAATATAATACTGAAATTTATAGAAAAGCTTATTTTGGTGTATAAAGGATGATGAGCTTATTGGTGTAACTAGAGATAATCCCAATTGTGTATTTTAATTGTTATTTATCAGCATTTTGGGGCATCTTTCATTAAAATGTCTGAGATTTTCAAATTTGTTTGTAATATGCAACAAATAAGCACATAATTAGTCAATGTCAAGGATATGGGTGTTTTTAACCCTCACAGCTAGTCTTATAATTAATTATCTTCCTTAATGCTTTATGAAGCAATTTTACTTACACACAACTTTAGGCTCTGAGTCTGGAAAGGTGTTTAATTACATTGGAATGAGAAGATAATTCTAAGAGACTTCAAATGATAAATAATACATTAAAATGATAAACTTGTTCTATCCTTGACATATTCATTCAGCACTTAATGATACTTATGGACAAGACACATATGCACTAAGCCCTGTATAAGATGTCTACTTATCAGCCAGATAGTCTGGGAAGGAAGATAACATATCTACACAAATCTTTGATATACAAGTATATTTAAAGATCCCTATAAGTTCAACAAGAATAGAAATTTCTATGGATGGAGGCTGAGGGAGTGCATAATCAAGAAAGTTTAATTTGAAGTGAATGATGGATAGATTTTGCGCATGCATAGATGGAGAAAAGGACATTTCCAAAAGAAAAAATACCATGAAAAAAGACAGCCAAATGGGAAAACTTGTAGCACACACCCCTAATATAGTAAAATAATTATTCATTTGAAGTATAAGAGTTATAATTTGGAGAAGAGAGAAACTGAAAAATATGAATTTGCAGCCAAGCGATAAGGAGCCTTAAATATCAGACTAAGAAGTCTGGATTTTATTCCAAAGGCACTTGGGAATCACTGACTTTTTAAAATTAACATGTAATGATTCATATAATAATGGGGTCCAATATGATATGTCAACAAATATATACAGAACATACTGATTAAATCAAGGTAACTAGCATTAAAGATTTCAAAGGAAGAAAATGGCATAATTGGAAGCTCCAATGTATAGAAAATTATTTAGGAAAGATTTTGTAGCAAGACAGTTTGAAGATTGATGGTGGTAGGAAGGGATGTTGACAATTATCTAATGTCTTTCAAGTGTGCCTCTTTCAAAGTCTATTGCAGAGGATAGAAGGCTGATTTCTAAGGGCTTCAGAGATCTTAATCAAGGGATACAAACTCTCAGTTATAAGATAAATCAAGTTCTGGAGATCTAATGTATAGCATGCTGAGTATGGTTACTAAGACTGTATTAAATACATGAAATTATTAAAAAATATTTTTAGTTGTAGATGGACACAATATCTTTATTTTATTTACTTATTTTTATATGGTGCTGAGGATCGAACCCAGAGTCTCACACGAGCAAGGCAAGCACTCTGCCACTGAGCCACAACCCCAGCCCTAAATACAAGAAATTTTTAAAGAGAGTAGATCTTATATTTTCTCACGACACACACACACACACACACACACACACACACACAGACATACACACACACATACATGTTAAGTATATGAGGTGATGGATGTGTTAATTAACTTTGTGGTAATCATTTCACAATGTATATGATATCAGGTCATCATGTTGTACATCACATTGCACCTGTATATCAAATATATGCAGTACTTATTTCTCAATTTTACACAATAAAACGAAGGGGGGAAGGCTATATCAAAAATCTCAACAGCACCATCTAGTGCCACATAGCATAATATTGCCCAGTTTGAGGAAATATTTAATAGGATTAATCAAAGACTGGATTAACTCTGGGCAGTTTCCCTTCCTTTCACAACTGTTCCTGAGTTTGGAGAACCAATGTTAGAAGAGGTAGGTAATTGGATATCAAACTGAGAAATAATGCAGATATTGGGAATGGTAGTCTCATTTTTATCTATGCGTCAGAACTAATCCTCTTCAATTTGTTAATCTTCTACCAATAGTTCTTGGTGACAAATAATAATAGAACAACTAGATAGAATGGCTAGATGCATTGGTAACACATCCTCAACAGCAAATATGTTGTTAGCCATATTAAGCCTGGGAAGTTTATTCCACCTGAAACCACTTACATAGCTATCTATTTCTGTATCCTTGATGTGGAAAAATGATTGGCTCTGTTGATCTCTGGCAGCTTTTGTGTGCTCAAGCAGTCCTCCTACCTTACAATCACCAAACCCTGTTTTACCAGGGAGCAAGATCTGTGTGAAAGGTCAATAAATCAGACCTCGATCAAATATTATCTGCCATATTACATAGTGATGTGTCAATTTCACTTTCATAAAAAAATAAGAGAATTTGCAGCAACACTAAAGAAATTACTATATCTTTGCAAGATTGTTAGAGCTTGTTAACTATCCTGATGAACTTAGACCAAGTAACAATTTCTTGCTGTAAGAGAATTGACTGTATATAGTGAAACATTAAGACTTTAAGTCTAGGAAGAAAAAAAGGATGGAGAGCTACAGCAACTTCCTCACCCAACAATATATTCCCACTAGTTGTATCACATATTTACTCAGAATCTTAAATTATGGTACAAAGTTTATAAATGTATTTCACCTCTCTGGAACTTTTTTCACATTATCAAAATAATGAGGTGGTCTCTATGTTTTCTCCAGCCATGGTATTTTATGGTTCTAAATAAAGTCATCCATGTCCTAGATTAAGAATCTCTCCCACAGAAGTGAATTTCACTACTAACAAATTAGATTATTTCCCAAGTTATTAGCAGCACTCACCAGATGTTACCTAGGAAGCTCTCTTCTTGAGGGAATCAAGTATTTTCATTCAAGCTTATTCTTTTTTGTTTGAGCAATTCTTTTCTTTTTTATTGGTTCTTTTAAGTTATACATGACAATATAATTCATTTTGATATAATTATAAAAACATGGAATATAATTTGCTTTAATTCAATCCCAAGAACCTCCCCTTCCCCACCCCTCCCTGCTCCCTTTCCTCTCCTGATCTTTCTGTCATTTACCCATAGTTATTTTTTAAATTAACTTCTTATGGATGTATACAATGGTAAGATTCATTGTGGTATTTTATTCTTTAACATAATTCAAAGAGTCCTTGTAATAAATAGATAATTGATAGATATTCATATATGTGAAATTAATATCTCAATTTTTTCTTTAATTACAAAATTTAATAAATTACTTGAAAGGAAACTTTATGGAATAGTACTAGAGTGGTTGACTTAAAATAGGGAAGAAATATTTTACCTAGATCTCAGGGTTAAGAGGAAGTCAATCAGGCAAACATGGATAGGAAATTAAGAAAAAGTTTCTTCAGTCAGGCATGGTGGTTTATGCCTGTAATAGCAGTGGCTCAGGAGGCTGAGGCAGGAGGATTGCAAGCTCAAAGCCAGCCTGGCAATTTAGCAAGGCCATAAGCAATTTAGTGAGGCCCTGCCTCAAAAAAAAAAAAAAAAAAAAGGCTGGAGATGTGGCTCAGTGGTTAAGCACCCCTGGGTTCAATCACTGGTACCAAAAGAAGAAGAAAAACTTTCTTCTAAATGCTTGTAAGACCTAAACCTTCCTCCTGGGGCCAGGAAACAGCCAAATTTCTCTCCATTGCCTCATAACACTTGCTTCCTATTGCAGTCAAAATGTATACATGTTGCTACTATGAAATAAAACAGTAATACTTCCTATAATTTAAAGTTTAGTAAAAATTGACAAGTTTTTTTTTTTTTTAATATGTTGTAGGCACCAAGCAAACATTCCTAGAGAAACATGGATGGAGCTGGAAATCTGACAGTATCTTCTTCCAGTAATAACACGTGCCATGACACTATTGATGACTTCCGCAATCAAGTGTATTCCACCTTATACTCTATGATCTCTGTTGTGGGTTTCTTTGGCAATGGCTTTGTGCTCTACGTCCTCATAAAAACATATCATGAGAAATCAGCCTTCCAAGTATATATGATTAACTTAGCTGTAGCAGATCTCCTGTGTGTGTGCACATTGCCTCTCCGTGTGGTCTATTATGTTCACAAAGGCATTTGGCTCTTCGGAGACTTTTTGTGCCGCCTCAGCACCTATGCCCTATATGTTAACCTCTACTGTAGCATCTTCTTTATGACAGCCATGAGCTTTTTCCGATGTGTTGCAATTGTTTTCCCAGTCCAAAACATTAATTTGGTTACACAGAAAAAAGCCAGGTTTGTGTGTGTTGGCATTTGGATTTTTGTTATTTTGACTAGTTCTCCATTTTTAATGGCCAAATCTTACACAGATGAAAAAAACAATACAAAGTGTTTTGAGCCTCCTCAGGACAATCAGGCCAAAAATCATGTTTTGATCTTGCATTATGTGTCATTATTCATTGGCTTCATCATCCCTTTTGTTATTATAATTGTCTGCTACACGATGATCATTTTGACCTTACTAAAAAATTCTATGAAGAAAAATTTGTCAAGTCGTAAAAAGGCTATAGGAATGATCATAGTTGTGACAGCTGCCTTTTTAATCAGCTTCATGCCATATCATATTCAACGCACAATCCACCTTCATTTTTTACACAATGAAACTAAACCCTGTGATTCTGTCCTTCGAATGCAGAAGTCAGTGGTCGTAACCTTGTCTCTAGCTGCATCAAATTGTTGCTTTGACCCTCTTCTATATTTCTTTTCAGGGGGGAACTTTAGGAGAAGGCTGTCTACATTTAGAAAACATTCTTTGTCCAGCATGACTTATGTACCCAAGAAGAAGGCCTCCTTCCCAGAAAAAGGAGAAGAAATATGTAAAGAAGAATTTAAACCCATATCCAGTGTAAACCAATGAAGAGTTTCCCAAACATTTTCTAAAATCATTTACAATAAAAATAAAAATTTCCATTAACAATTTGCAAATATTTAACTATGTGTGCCTCCTAATCTACCTCATTTATGCATCACATTATCAGATATTTTAAGTGTTAAGAATTCAACCCACAGCTAAAGGCTAAATTATAAACAGTTGTTTGACCATTCACCAAAAGGTAGAGAATATTTGTGTTTTTTGGAGTGTAAAACATGGATCTGAGATCAAGGTTTTCCTCCACAAATAAAAGCTTTACAAAGGATAAGGGCTACACTTTTAAGATATAAAATCACCAAATAATTCTCAATCATCCTAACATATCCCTTTGCTTGCATGCCATCAGATGAGAACTGGAGATGACCCAAGAGTTGCACAAAACGTACTGTTAGCCTCCTCCTTTGTAGTACTGAGTAGAGAAGCAAAGTAGAGCCACTTTTTCCAGAAGAGAATGTACACGTTCTAGAACGTGCTAGTGTTCAGCCAAATGACCCTAAAAGCTCTGTGCAATGTACATTTTGGAAACTGAGGAAAATATATCTGATCAAAGATCAGCATGTCTCCAATATTCTTCTCCCCCTGCCCCAGGTCCAAAAAGAGAATGATGGTCTTTTAGTTGCCTGTTGAGGTTCCTTTAACATTCTCTCCATACATGACATATAATCCTTCCTTAAGAAGCCAGACAACTAGCACTCCTGTATATGAACAGAGAGTAATTAAAAATTTATCTGAAGAAACAGAAAGGGGATCTACTTTTCTACATGATTATTACTAGGATCAAAATTAACTACAAGGAATCTCTGAAGAAAATTTTGAATGTCCATGTTACAAATTCTTTCAAGACGTGCATATATTATGTATAAACATATAAATATATGTAGGTGAATTTGTTCTATGATATGTATTTATGGGTGAAAGTTAATTATAAACTTTATTATTATTTCATACTTTTTACTTTTTATTAGCATGTTGGCAGGAATATCAAACATTTATTTACAGTGATTTTTATATTAAACTGGAAGCTTTGTTCTTACAACCATGACAACAACTTGGTTATAGCTACAATATTCATGGGCAAGCTTTTGCTGAAGTGCAGTATGTTCCTTGACTTTGTGGGTTCAAAAGGTACATTACCTCAGAAGAAATAAATTATGATAGTGAAGAAAAAAGGAAAACTGTGAAAGAAGACATTCTATCTAAATCTGTCACATGTACATTATATATATATATATATATATCTTCTAATGTGGCAGTCCCTTGAAAAAAATCACAAAACATAAATAGAAGGGGCCTCCAAGGCATAGTAATAATTGGTACCCATGGATTTTTGTTTAATATACGTGAGACTTGGAAGTACTTATACTTTTGCTTTATACTGCTTTTCCCTTACTTGAAACAAAGATCAAGCATAATTGTCATAAAATTCAGTTCTTATTTCTCATTTACTAAGCCTTCTGTTATTTGGCAAGCAGCACAGTGTGTGAGAATAACACTACATTGGAAGCCAGAAAACCTAGATGCTAACCTGGTTTCTACTTGTGTAACTTTAGGATATGACATGAACTTTCTCATTTGTAAAAAGGGAAATATTTGTTTGGCTTTCCATATAGGGCAATTATAAACCTCAAATGAGATGTTATATTAAAGTTTTACTTTAAAAATATATAGTGAGGTGTCATTTTAAAGTATCCAGAGATGGTTTTCTTACTTAAATATATTGATTTTTATTTACTACATGGATTCTCAATTTTAAAAGAATTAGAACAAATTAAGGCCACAGTTAAATTCTTTATTTTATTTTAATTTGTTATATATGACAGCAAAATGCTTTACAATTCATATTACACACATAGACATAATTTTTCACATCTCTGATTGTATACACAGTAGAGTCACACCATTCGTATCTTCATACATGTACTTAGGATAATGATGTCCATCTAGCCACAGTTAAAGTCTATTTCATGTAATTTAATTATTCCTACTTCCAAGCTTTTGTCTGTGTTCTCATTTTCACTCACAGTTCTACTCTTCCCATATAGAAACGTACCATAAAACCTTCAATCAGCTGGGCATGGTGGCACAAGCCTGAAATCCCAGTGGCTCGAGAGGTGAGGTAGGAGAATCACAGTTCAAAGCCAGCCTCAGCAATTTAGTGAGGCCCTAAGCAAGCAACATAGTGAGACCCTGTCTCAAAATAAAAGTAAGAAGGCCTGGAGATGTGACCCAGTTGTTAAGCTCCCCCCCCTCCCCCGATCCCCAGGTTCAATTCCCAGGAAGAAGGAGAAGGAGAAGGAGAAGAAGAAGAGAAAAAAAGAAAGAAACTTTAGTCATCTGCAAACCCAAAATGAATTTGTTCTTCTTTTGTTTCTCATGCATTTGTTGGTTAGTACTTATTTTCCCAATTTTTTTCATATCTCAGTATTTTCTCCAAAATTAGAGCGATCCTTCTGGAATCATCAACTCCTTGAGGTTGGAAATTATATCTTTAAATGACAGTATCTAATATTTAATGAGCTCTAACTTTGTGCTATACACTGTTTTATATGCTTTACCTGTTCATTTAATGCTTATAACTGCAATTCATTTAATGCTTATAACTGCATTATGAAGTACCATTATTAACCCTATTTTGATTAATTAGAAACTGATTAGTTGTCTGTTGAGGTTCCTGTAACATTCTCTCCCTACATGACCACAGAGAGGTTTAGTAACTTGCCCAATATCAGATAGTTAGGAAGCATCAGAACCAAGGTTCAAACCCAGGCAGTCTGATGCCACAATACATGTTCTTAATTTGCTATACTATTCTGCTGGATTGTTTTCAAGTATAAAGTTTCAGAATGCAGGTCAGGTGTGGTGGCACATGACTATAATTCCAACAACTCAGGAGGCTGAGGCAGGAGGATCACAAGTTCAAGACCAGCCTCAGTAATTTAGTGAGGCCCTAAGCAACTTAGACTAAGTTGTCTGTAAATAAAATTTAGTGAGACTAAGCTGTCTCTAAAAAAAATAAAATAAAATAAAAAGGGCTAAGGATGTGACTCAGTGGTTAAGTACCGCTGTTAAATCCCCAGTACCAAAAAACAAAAGTTTGAAAATACAGCATGAATAGGTTTTAGAGATCTGATAATGACTTAAAAACTGTTTTAAGACAGCAGATCTTGGGTTAAGTGTTCTTAACACACATATAAACATATGGAGAGAGAAAGGAGAGGAGAGGAGATGGGGAGAAGGGTGGGGGAAGCAGCAGCAAGGGTTTATTTTTAATGATTTATTTGTTTATTTTAAAAACCAGGTTTAATTAAACTGCATACTTAAATTCTTAAGTTAGGTGAACACATGAATTATGGCCTAAAGCCTATGGTTTTAGTTGGAAGAACATCTAAAGAATATTATATAGTATTTTAGCATATCAACATTAGAAGGACCTTCGTGTTTGTAATTCCTAATGGCAATATAATACCCTGTGGCATTAACATGCCACAGTCTTCACACACATTCCTTTGGTTGCCAACAGTCCTTTCAAACCTCATCAGCTATCTAAACTCCCTTTCATGATACACTTAAATTTTTACTTTGTTCAACCATTATGTCTTCTGTATCTTAAAAAATCATTTCTGATCTTAAAGAACATTCTATATTTTAGCCTCCAGAATAAACACAAGTGATTTTATGTGTTCAACTGATAACAAACTTTGGTTTTCTGGCTTATAGAATCTCCCAGTTTTTCATTCTAGTAACATGATTTTGCATTTGTGCTTTTTTAAAAAATATTTTTATATGTATGGACCTTTATTTTATTCATTTATTTATATGTGGTGCTGAGGATCAAACCCAGTGTCTCACACATGCTAGGCAAGCTCTCTACCACAGCCACAGCCTCAGCCCTGCATTTGTGCTTTTAATTAGCCTTTTAAGATAATTAAATCTTTCTCTCGGGATTTACCTTTAGTGACTAACTCCAATGGTGAAAAATTCAGAGGCTTGAAAAGTGAGATTAGATCTCAGAGCAATGTAAATTTGTGGGCCCTTTTTAGTAGGTACCATAGCACTGGAAGTAAGAACAGAAGCTCACTTATTCTATTCTACTTTACGTGTACAACCTGGGTTAGACTGGCTTTGCCTGATACAAAAATAGCGAAGTGTTTCTGAGAGGCCAAATCCAAAACATTTTCTTTGATCCATTCCAGATCTCTTTTACTCTAGATGAATCAAAAGACATTTTCTAACTCCTCATTCATCTGTTCATTACTTCACTTTTCTCTACACTATATATAATCACGTCATAAAATCCCTTCCATGATAACCCTATTAAATCACAATAATACATATCTATTTTAAATTACAAAAGCATAACCTGAAATTTATAAAACAGATTTACATGGAATATTTGCTCAAGTGACATTTAATTTTGTATCCATAAGGACCTTTCTCTTGAAAGCTAGTCACTTGAACTAGGAAATGTTTTGCATGTCAATAATTCTAGCTTAGAAAATAAGTTATCCTGATGGAAAAATGTCCTTTGGACACAGAATGTTGTATTCTCGATTATTCAAAGAGAAATGTAAGCTAAGGGCTTGTTATTGCCCAGTTTTATTGCACTATAGGTAAACAAAAATTACCATATTTGTTCCTGAATAACCACAATTACCTTGGTTTAGTGTTATTGTTTTTACTTTCACCTTCTTAACTTGAAAGATTAATTTTTTCTTGAATACCCAGATAGATATGAGAACTAAAGATTGAAAAATAATGTTTTACACCCCATAACAAACCAAATTCATCTTTCTACAACTTTGGCAAATAATAATTCAAATTAATGTCTAATTTTGATCCCCTTTTTAAAAACAACTTCAAACAACTGACAAAGAAAGCCAATAAAATTTATCCCCTTTAAGTCGTCTATGTAGTTTTCATTTTTATTGGATAAAGGTTATAATAGCTCAGCATAAGATCTGGCTCTTTTTTATGCACAGAAGGAATTTTTATTCCTAAATTAGCATCATGACTATTCTTCACGTATCTCAAAATTTTCACTTATATCTAACTACTAAACC